AGTTGAACTTAGTAGTAGGTCTTATTTCTCAACTTATATATGGTTCTTTTGTAATCAATACAAAATATTATTCTTGCAGATATAAATGTAAAGAGTTCATGAAAATATTTAGTTAGAAAATACACCTTTATATACTCGTATCCAAAAAATAAGCATAACCATTAATTTGACATATATCTCAAGAACAGATGATCAGAACAGCGGGAAATTTAACATTCGAGAAGTAAATTGCGTTCTTTAAGCATCACTTCAATTGAATAGCAAATATTTAATCTAAATGTCGTCAAACAAAACACAACAGGTAAAAGCACTAAAAATTGACGTAAATCTTTTTGCTCAAGAATGATTAATACGGCGTGTGATTGCCTCCTGCACGCATACACGTGTCAGAGCGATTTCTCGCGCTGGTCATAACATTGTTTATTAGCTCTGTTGGGAGCGATGTCCATTCTTGAACAAGAGCATTTTGAAGTTGAGTGTTCTTGGTGGAGATGTAACTTTTCGCCATACAGCACCCCAAACATGTTTTTCGGCAGTTGTTCCCACAATTTCTTTTAACGATTTGCTTTGAATATTAACAAATTTTTGACTCTAACATTAAATTTATAAACAAAAATATTATTTGATAAAATTCATTTTAATTTAAAATTTTATTTCTCTCCTTTTCCTTCAACAACAGCAACAACAATAATAATAACTAACATAAAAATAATAAAAGACAAAATAAATTAAATTAAAAAGTTAAGTAACTCATTCATTTTGAGTGATTTTGATTTTATCGTGAAACTCAGTAAATTGAGATTTAATTATTGAGATAGTGAGTCGAACGTTTTTATTTTTTGAAAATGCAACCACTTACATTTGATTATTTGTTTCAAGCTCTAGTTTTCACAGTTTCAGTACAAATTGCTGATGCTGATCATTTATTTCCATGTCTGTCCATATTTTAGAACATTTCCAGCTTATTCTTTTTCCTTACACTTGTTGTCTTTTTGGATATTTTAGTTATATTTAAACATACTTTTAATATTAGCAAAGCATTTAATTCTCCATTATTATATGCATAGAGCAGCAATACAGATAATGTCAGATTTACGGCAATTATATTTACACATTTTCACTTATCGCATTTGAAAAAAGAATAAAGTCGACCCCACTATAACACGGTAGATATGTTCCGTTCTTTATGAATTTATTTTGTACGAGTCCTTGCCAATCACAGCCCGACACGTGTGAAGTTTACGGACTATGGCTGTTTGAAAGGTTTTCTTCCATAAAATTTATCGATTCCTAGACTAATTCGACTCAACATTTCCAAAACACGTATATTTTCTTTGGGAATAATCCGTATAAACTATGCTATAAACAAAAAATTGTAGGATTGCTCACCGAGTGTGCACCGTTCGACGTCGCCATTGCTTAAGCTTGTTTTCGTCGCGGAGCAGCGCACCAAACAGCGGGGGCGATTTCTGATAAGTTATTTTTCTGCGAAAACTTCGTTGAACTTTGGAGACGACATTAATATAAATAATTATTATGGCTGTTGAATAAGAAATGTTTCTTTCACAAGAAATGTACAAAAGTAGTGCTGTATTAGACTTACGGTACCTAATTTATATACTGTACACACGATAGTAAACTCAACTTACTCGCCTAAACTCTCTGTAGCGTGGCGCTGGACGGCAGAAAGCATATATATAATTATAATAAAATTACAATAAATTAAGTTAATATATACAGTACCTAATTTATATATAATTAATATATAATTATATGTACAGTACCTAATTTATATATAATTTATATATAATACTGTACAGACGATAGTAAACTCAATTTATCCGCCTAAACTCTCCGTAGCGTGGCGCTGGACGGCGGAAAGTAGTTCGACTGCCTGATGACGTTTTACCGAATTATAGGAGTTTTTTACCATGTTTGTACGGATACCGTCACAATTTTTTCGCCGTCATATAGGAATCCGAACTATAGGACCCGTGTTATAGGGGGGGTTTACTGTATTTTCAAAAATGTTTTTTAAGATCTAACGCAACCAGAACGGGATAGAATATATGATATATTGTAAAAAGAACAATAAAATAAGATGTACACGAAAACATATAGAAAAGTTATATAAGTTAAAAGAATTGTAAATCGTGATTTGATACTCTGACGTGTATAATGTGATCTGGGCTAGCCACATAGCATGCGTTAAAACTAATCATTCCATGTTACAGAATCGCATTCAATTTTACATTGAATAAAGATATTGCAGTCTTTATTCACACTTGAATATAAAACAAAATAGCTACTTACAAGGTATTTTATTTTCGTTGTTTTGATTCAATGTTCTCCAAACGAATGTTGTTTATATTCTTTCTTTGGCAATCAGAAATTCTTTAGTATTCGTACATTGAGCATAATTACTTTCCTGGATTTTCTGATACAAAACTTGAGACAATTATTAATAACATAATAAGTGTTATTCTTGTTAATCAGTTGTAATATTGCAATTTCATACAAAATGTAGTGCATTTGATTTGTAGTTTTTCTTGTGAATTTTTAAAACTTGTTAAAGACTTTTAAATTTTTCAATAAAAAGATATTCATGAAAAAAAGAACTTTACCCGAATCCATTAAAAAGTAGAAATTCCTCTTGGGATTGCGTCTCCCTAATTGGGAACCGCTGTTCTAATGACTTAGGCAGGAGAACTTGCTGGCCCTTTCTTGCAACGAATATCTTTACTGTCAGCAAAGTTATTGACAAATGAAACCTTTTGTGGTCAGGATTCTCGTCCATGAAAATGAAATCTGTACCCATAAAACCTCGGAAAAGTCTCATACGTGGTTCTAAAACTTTGTTTCTCTATCTTCTTGCAAAAATGACACTATATGCAAAAACTTGGCGATCATTGCAGCCATTAAAGCATAATATTATCATCTGTAAACTGGCCTTTCTCCGATTTTAAAGGGATTGTATCAGATTCTAATCTCTCTCCAGATTCTAATCCTACGAGAATCATTGTATTGGGACTCCTATCTATGAATTGGACGAGTATAATTATTTTTTAAATATGAGTAGACTTTTTATAAACAATATAATATTATAACTTAATATTTTTGACTTTTCAATTCAAGAATTAAATTAATTTAAATAATTCTTGATCATTTCAAAATTTTTTAATATATTAAGCCTACACCACAATGCAAATATTAAATAGAAACTTTTTATTTCTTTGGTTTATATAATAGTAACTATTATATAAACCAAAGAAATAAAAAGTTTTTATTTGAAAATTCTTATAAAGTTTTATACTAATAAAAATAATTTCTAATAAAAATAAATAATTACTAATAATTCGTGAATATAAATAATTTATATTTCGTTTCATGTATCTTATTCCAAATACTTTTTTAAAATGTTTTTATTTGCTTTAGTTAATTATTTTCTCGAATAAAATATAAATTAATATAATTCAATTTTACTATTATTTCAAGTAAAATTTGCTCTTTGAAGTAAAAATATAATCATAAAAATAAACAGTAACAATCTTTTTAATTCTCCTTGTTATTTAAATCGGATTTATATAGTTATTAATGCCTATTTTTTAAAAACTTTTTTCAATACAATAATCTTTTAAAGGAATAAAAAACACTTTAATGTGAAAAAATCTTATACGAAATTCACGGGAAATTATACAAGAAAAAGTGATATCGGTACAACATATTTAAATCAGGTGCTTAACTAGGCAATTATGGAGATGAGTATTGGCACATCTACTATTTCTGGAATGTACAAAAAATATTGCATTCCAAACGATATTGGTTTGTCGCATTAAGAGAACACGTGGTGTTAAAAGCCCATCTTAAAAGAATGTTTTCAGTCGTAGCGAAGTTTGAAAAAATTTTACCGTCGACTTACAGAAAATTACAGAAAAATGGGGTGAAGTTTATCTCGTAAAAAGCACCAAATTATTGAATTTTGTAAATTTTAACATCTAGACGTTTTCGGTAAAGCATTTTATCTACCATATAGAATCTGTACAGAAAAAATTCTCAACTTTTGAAAACTATAATAAAAATTGAGTTATGCAAAATCAACCTGTAGAATATAGTTCAAAGTATAGAAGGGAATTCGTTCCTTTCTTTTCGTTACATTGGCAATTTTTTAGTAATTTTAAGTTGAATGACCGTGTATACAACAATATGGTAACCATTCAAACATTAGCCATCTTTCAAACGAAGATTTTATAGAGAAAAATGCATCTAAAATTCATACTTTCAGTCCGATGCATTTATAAATCCATTCTTATAAAATATGTTTACTTATTCAAATAATGTTTAATAATTTTATTTTCATGTTTTCATATTTAAATTATTCGATAGAGCTAAACAACTTCAATAAATTTATATATAATATACGTTAATTTTGTATTTATCTACAGAATAAATATATTATTTTATAAAAACAAAGTTTTAAACAACTTCATTCAAAGAATTTATCTAGTAGTTTTCTATGATATACAACAGATACTTATGTATTTAGCATAAAATGTTCATAACGACTTTTGTTAGAAACAGCCTATAAAGTTTGGTGTTTAAATGTATTCATGATTCTTATCGTTATAGTCATTTTGGCTATTAATTCGTAGATAAATGGTTTTCAAACATTTAATGACATAAAATGACAACTTTTTAGTCTATAGTTATTTAGATCAAGTTTTCTTTCTTGTTAAATGATGGAAATAATGTAACGTAAATAACTAGAAATGTAGATTAAATTTACAATCATTATTTGATATAAATCTCTAAAGTTTTTGTAAAACATTCGATAAAATCCATATGATTTACAAAACTTTATTATAAATGAATCAAATAAAGTCTGTTATCTCAATTATAAAATTTAACGTTTATGAAAATAATGCGTCATTTTATTAGATTTTATTTACTTAATTGTAAATTTTTTTAATTTTATATTATTAAAAGATGTACATTAAAATTAGATCCTGCTGTAATTATCAATATTTCGGCGTCAATTGAAGTAAAAGAAGGAGATAATGTGAAGTTAGAATGTAATTTTGACGGTAATCCGTTACCTGAAGATACTATCAGTTGGAAAAAAGATGGTATACGTTTTACGAAGTATTCGATAGAAGGGAAAAAATCATATTTAATCAGAGAAAATATAACAAGAACCGAAGCTGGTGAATATTATTGCATTGCAAACAATGGAATGGGAAAAGAGTCGATTAAATCAACAATAATATCTGTTCTACGTAAGTAAATACATCTCATTATATTTATTTTGATTTTATTGAAAATATGTTTTTTAGTTTTAATTAATATCATTACAATATGAATTTAAAATAATTAACTGTTAAATAAAAAAACTGTTAATCAACAAAAGCTTATTGATTAACAATTTCTTTAAAATTAATGTTTATATATATATTAGTGTTAATATATATACTTGTTTTAAAGATTATATAATGGGGATCTCAGATTTCTTTTTAATAGGAATATTTATAATTGTTTACAAAAACTGGTAAATATATTATTTATTTTAAAATATAAACTGAAAGAATGAAATTATATTATACAGGTGTAACTATTTACTAATTTATTTTCATTTAAGAGAAAAATATATTAACACAATAAATAATATATCTTTTTTATTATATAAAATATTATTTAATTATGTACACACATAGAAACAATTTGTTTACCCATACAACGTATATATATATACATTAACACGTATGTCTACGCACCCAGAAGCCCATAAATTATTTACACACGTAGTATTTGTATTTATAACCTTTAGAAAATTGAGATTAAGGAATTTAAATTAATTACGATAAATCTAAGGATATGTATCTGTATTGGCCTATATATTGTATCTTACGTTAAGGAGATTTTTGTTATCTAAACTCCTCCTAGGTTTCTCAACCGAATTGAACGAATTGATGTCGATGGATAATGGTTGGTCTGCAGATGTGCAATACGTTTTTTGTTTTCTAATCTGTTGATCCGTTCCGAAGATATCGGGTTTCAAAGTTCTGAAATTTCCCTATCATTTTGAATAGGGAGTCGATAAGAAACTTTTTGTAACATTAAATTTTGCAAAGATTCAGTGTCAGCTTCACCTGTGTATACAGTTTACCAAGAAATGTGTGATCCGGATATAACTCCCAGGGGTATCGCGAATTGTCCGCTAGTTTTATTTATATGTTTGTAGTTTTCAAACATAAAAATATACTTTAAAAATATTTCTTTATCAATTAAATTTAATTTATACATCTGTCAACTTCACATTCTTTTTAACGAATTAAAAATAAAAATGATGCTAGCATTAAAAAGGAAGATGTACAATAAATTTATTTTTGAAAGTTTCAGACTTCAACATATAGAGAAAATATCTTTAAGATTAGAAAGTTCAAAAATAATTCTAAATAAAGCAGAATTGATCACAAAAATTATGTAAAATTAATGTTTAAATTAAACAGTACGAAACAAATTTTGTTTCTTGTAAATAATAATTTAATTAAAACATTACTATTTTTATCTTTATCGTAATTCTGGGGATATTTATTTAAAATTAGTAAAAAATAAATAAGAAAACCAAGAATATTTTTCTCGTATAATAAAATTCACATCATAGTTGACGAAAAACATGATGAAATTCTACTTTGAAGTATAGAAAAAACTAGCCAACTCTCATCTGTCAGAATTACAAGTGATTTATTTTTTTGATGTAGTCAACATTGAAAAAAAATTGTAACATCAAAGAAAGTCATACATTTTCTGTAATGATATTTTTTGAAATCAAAGAATGTTCAATGGTTTTAAGATTTAAGATCTATTTAATAATATACTAATGTAGTATGTAGCAGTCACTTCCCCAAAATGAGATATGAGAAAGAATTCCCTTCTAAAATGAATTTTTCATCTAAAAGTATAAAGGCGGACTTTCTCCAGAGGTGTACATTTTAATCAAAAATACAAATCTGATACAAACATGGAGAGAAACAAGCTGGCATTAATTAAAAATGAACAAGTTATACAGACTCTAAATTTAACATTTATCTCTTAGAGCATAACTTATAATAAGAAGAATTAACTTGTTTCATATGGCAATTTATCATACTAGTTTATCGCAAAACAAATAAGTTACATAACAATATTAATAATTGGTTTCAGCTAAACAAGATCTAATGACAAATACACTAATATTAACACAAATTATAGATAAGTGAACAATGCTCATAATGAACAAAATGTTTTATGTGACCGCCTGTTGTTTACTGGAAATAAAAAAAGACATCAAAATACAAGCAATAAGTTATTTATTATAATTAACATTATCCTAATTAAACAAATTATGTGTATTTTAAATTAGAAGTATTCATAAAATATCTATAATTTTGGAGTACAAAAGTAATTAATAACAGTCAGCTTAAAACATTTCTTCAGTCTTAAATGATTTCTAAAATAAATTAACTGATTTTCTTTGACATTCTTTACAGAACTGAATGTATGACTGTATTCATGAAATAGGGGAGACCGGGGCAACTTCGGCATGCGGGGCAAGTTTGTCAAGCGCTTTTTTTAAAAAACAAATTAAAAGGAGACTTTGGTTATAGGTTAGGCAGTTGAGTTTTATTGGTGGCTTGTTGAGTGTAGTGTTTTTATTGTTCTCCAACAAGCGNTCTTAGTAAAAATTTTTACTACGGTTATAAAAATATTAGAATAGTTTTTATTCACTGAGAATGAAAATAAGATTACATAAATTGAAAATGAAAAATTCTAATTACAAAATTAAATATTAATTAGTTTAATTCGGTATTTTGAATAAAAATATAACTTACATTATCTGAAAAATTATATCAGCCATAATATTGCTAAAGGAATATAAAAAGAGGATAAAAGTTTTTAATAGTATACAATTTACTATTAGAATTCTTCTAACTTAAGAAAATCGCAATGATTAAGTTTATCTGGAGGTTTTGAAATTGTAGAAAATTTTATTTTTATTGAAAACAAAATATGTGTCATATTCATGCACGAAGAGTTTGTCAAATTCAGCTGTTCTCACAGAATATTTATGGACAATAATAGCTGCGAATTGATGTAAAAACTCAAGGTTATTGTCATACAATATATTTTATGTTAAGGTTATTGTACCAGTCAAGTTTATAACACTGATATTACTTGTAATGTTGCTAAATTGCACACATAAGTTCTTGGTAACCTCTTATCTATTTTCCCACAGTACAACAGTTGGAAAAATTTAGTATTTCCTAGAGTTCTTTATAACTATTTAATGTTCTACTTAATATAAAACTAAAGTTTAAATGTTTCCTAATTCCGTGTCTTTTCATAATTGAAGTACAAATTAATTTTGTACGTTAATGATTAAACTCTTCACTTTATTCATAATTTGTTTATTGTCTAATTCTAAGGTAACTGTTAAAACAAATATTTTTAATATTTCAAAACTAAACAAAGATATCTAATTTGTTTATTAAACCTATTTTATCCAACTGAATTTTAAATTATATCATTTTTAATCAGTATAACAGGTCCGGTAATACAATTGTTCAATATCTTACTTTTCTAAACCAAGTAACAGGTATAATTGCAAATAATATTGTCATAAAGTACAAAAACGTAAATTTTAATTTTTAATCACCATTAATTTTTTAATTAGAAATCCAACAATTTTGATTATAGTAAAATTGCGTATACATAATATTAAAAATTTTAATTATGTATTTAAAAATAAATAATGCATTTTTTCAAATAAGTTTTTTTTTTATATTATTAATTCTTTAAACGCATTTACAAATTAAATTGAAACTTCTTAGTTGAACTTAGTAGTAGGTCTTATTTCTCAACTTATATATGGTTCTTTTGTAATCAATACAAAATATTATTCTTGCAGATATAAATGTAAAGAGTTCATGAAAATATTTAGTTAGAAAATACACCTTTATATACTCGTATCCAAAAAATAAGCATAACCATTAATTTGACATATATCTCAAGAACAGATGATCAGAACAGCGGGAAATTTAACATTCGAGAAGTAAATTGCGTTCTTTAAGCATCACTTCAATTGAATAGCAAATATTTAATCTAAATGTCGTCAAACAAAACACAACAGGTAAAAGCACTAAAAATTGACGTAAATCTTTTTGCTCAAGAATGATTAATACGGCGTGTGATTGCCTCCTGCACGCATACACGTGTCAGAGCGATTTCTCGCGCTGGTCATAACATTGTTTATTAGCTCTGTTGGGAGCGATGTCCATTCTTGAACAAGAGCATTTTGAAGTTGAGTGTTCTTGGTGGAGATGTAACTTTTCGCCATACAGCACCCCAAACATGTTTTTCGGCAGTTGTTCCCACAATTTCTTTTAACGATTTGCTTTGAATATTAACAAATTTTTGACTCTAACATTAAATTTATAAACAAAAATATTATTTGATAAAATTCATTTTAATTTAAAATTTTATTTCTATCCTTTTCCTTCAACAACAGCAACAACAATAATAATAACTAACATAAAAATAATAAAAGACAAAATAAATTAAATTAAAAAGTTAAGTAACTCATTCATTTTGAGTGATTTTGATTTTATCGTGAAACTCAGTAAATTGAGATTTAATTATTGAGATAGTGAGTCGAACGTTTTTATTTTTTGAAAATGCAACCACTTACATTTGATTATTTGTTTCAAGCTCTAGTTTTCACAGTTTCAGTACAAATTGCTGATGCTGATCATTTATTTCCATGTCTGTCCATATTTTAGAACATTTCCAGCTTATTCTTTTTCCTTACACTTGTTGTCTTTTTGGATATTTTAGTTATATTTAAACATACTTTTAATATTAGCAAAGCATTTAATTCTCCATTATTATATGCATAGAGCAGCAATACAGATAATGTCAGATTTACGGCAATTATATTTACACATTTTCACTTATCGCATTTGAAAAAAGAATAAAGTCGACCCCACTATAACACGGTAGATATGTTCCGTTCTTTATGAATTTATTTTGTACGAGTCCTTGCCAATCACAGCCCGACACGTGTGAAGTTTACGGACTATGGCTGTTTGAAAGGTTTTCTTCCATAAAATTTATCGATTCCTAGACTAATTCGACTCAACATTTCCAAAACACGTATATTTTCTTTGGGAATAATCCGTATAAACTATGCTATAAACAAAAAATTGTAGGATTGCTCACCGAGTGTGCACCGTTCGACGTC